CAAACTTGAGGACCTGAGTTCAATCCCTGGCGCTGCCTGTGCTCCCAGCCCTGGGCTTTGAGAGCCAGCAAGGATAACTGAAATAGTGAGCTCCAGATTCAGTGAGAGACCCTGCTTCAAAAAGGGTGGAGAATGATCGAAGATTATACTCAATGTTGACCTCTGACCTCCGTATACACACAGAAACCGGAAAACCATCGATGTCTATTTTATTTTAGAAGGTAGTGCAGGGCAATGATGGCGCACACCTTTAGTCCCAGCACTCAGGAGGCAGAGGCAGGTGGGTCTCTGAGTTCAAGGCCAGTCTGGTCTACAGAGTGAGTTCCAGGACAGACAGGACTCCATAAAGAAATCCTGTCTCAAAATAACAATAAAAAGTGAGGTCCCTTCTTCAAATATTAAGGTGCTCGAGCTGGTGACTGTAAACACCAAGTCTGGATCCTGTGTGTTGCACAGCTTGTACACACCCATCTCCTTCACTCCGGGACGCCTGTGCCAGCTCACCTAGCAAACTCTCCAGGCGTGCATCCCTCTTCCCCCACTTTACTCTCGTTTTGAGCTCAGGCAGGATGCTGTGTTCCTGGAACTCATCCCATACTTCCTGCTACCTCCAAGTACAAATTCATTCGGGGATGCCCCTCCACACTGCTCAGAAATGCACCTTTCTGACCCAGTGAAGGTTGGTTTGGCCTTCCTAGCCCTTGGGGAGCCCCACCTCCCACCTCATTGCTTAGAATGAACAAACCGCTCTCCTTCAGAGTCCCAGAGAGCCTCACCTCTTAGGACATACGCCTCTTTTGTCTCATGAATTATACTCTTTGGGTTGAGGATGTAGCACTTGGCAGATAGAGTATTCTTTAACAGGAAGCCTCGGGTGCAGTTCTCAGCAGTACTTAAGCCAGAGGTGATGGTGGCACTCAGAAGATGGACACAGGAAGTCAGGAGGATCAGAAGTTCAGGTCAGGGCTGGATCGATGGTTCAGTGGTTAAAAGCATGTACTGCCCTTGCAGAGAAGCCAATACCCACAATGGGCAACACACAACCACCAGCAACTGCAACTCCAAGGACTCTGATGCCTTCTGTCTCCTCAGGCATTCGTACACCCGTGCACAGACAGCTACACACACATACTCCAAACATAAATAAAAAATAAAGCCGGGCAGTGGTGGCACACACGATTAATCCCAGCACGTGGCAGAGGCAGGTGGATCTGTGACCAGCGTGGTCTACAGAGTGATCTCAAGGACAGTTAAGGTACACAGAGAACTACTGCTTAGGGTGGGGAGTATTCTGGATTATCTTTCCTCTATTTAAAAATATATTTTTTAAGTGTGTAGGTGCTTTCCCTGCATGTATGTTGTACATTGTCTGCATACAGTGCCTGTGGAGGCCAGAGGAGGGCATCAGATTCCTTGGACCTGGAGTTACAGGTGGTTTTGAGTCACCTTGTAGGTACTGGGACTAGAACCTGGGTCCTCTGGAAGAGCCAGCCAGGCTTCTTGTGCTGAGTCATTTCTTCAGCCCTGTGTCCTCTTCATCCCCTGCCAGGCCCTGCTATCTGAAACAGCATTCACTAGTGTAGGCATGTCTTCATCCTCCCCCTGTACACATTGTCTTCCTCACGTGTGAACTGCATTTGGCCCAAGGTCTGAATGGTGACTTTAGCACTAGAGCCTTGAACTTAACACTGACTTGACCTAGAGCCATTGCCTATGAATAGCTCAGAGTCAAAACATTTCCCAAGCCCTCCCCTCAAAGTCATACTAGTTAGTGGGGGGAGTCTGGTCACCCTTACTTCCATATTCTACCTCTCTAGCTCCCACCTCCTGGGGCTAGAGCCAGAGCAGTCTGAAGGAAAATGGAGGCTACCACCTGCTTTGGCAATGCTCACAGCCCAGTTGAAGAAACACCTGGTAGAGGCTGGGCAGTGGCCTTTAATCTCAGCACTTGGGAGGCAGAGGCAGGTGGATTTCTGTGAGTTCGAGGCCAGCCTGGTCCATAGAGTAAGTTCCAGAACAGGCTCTAAACCTACACAGAGTAAACCCTGTCTCCAAAAACAAAACAAAACAAACAAAAACCACCTGTCTCTACCAGGCATGGGGAGCTCTGCAGGGTTTTCTCTGAGAAGCAACATCCAAGTGCCATTCTATGTGGTACCTCGTATGCACACAGGGCTCAACCAGGGGAACCCCAGCTACCTTCCCAGGCAAGCCTAGGACCTGCTCAAGCCCCCTCTTCTTTCATCCCCCAAAGGCTCCATAAAGTAGCATCTCCTCCCCATGTAAACTGGTCTGGGTCAAGACAGACAAGAGGGGATATCCAGAGAGCCAAGAGATGCTGCCAAGATCACTGAAATTGAAGGTCCTTAAAGGCTGTTATTTAAGTGACATGCCAAGAGATAGAAACCTTAGGTGAACAGAGATCCAAGGAATAGAGTTGAAAATAGTGTGACAGTCTCTCTACATTTTCACACAGAACTGGCTGGTCCAGGGGTTCTTCAGAGGCACCAGGGATGGGCTTCTCCAGTAACTGTGACAGTGACTTCTATGACCAGCTGGCTCCAGAGCCACCCAGCCTGCTTGGGGACCAGGGAACTGGTTTGCCAAGCACGGATGAGCTAACAAGAGATCTGGTTCTGGGCTGCCCTCCCCCTTTACATATGGGCCTGGCCTTGGTTTCTGGCACCACTGCCAAGTTTTGGTACCGCCCACCCACCCCCGCTGGCTCTACTGGCCAGCCCAGGTCGTAATTGCTGGGTGGGGAAGCGCACTGTGGAGTGGGTACACCAAAAGGTGGGCACGTGGGCACCTGGCCCGACTGTCTCCCGGCTCTGCTGAGGAAGTAACTCAGACTTCAGGCTAACACCTGACCTGTTAGGGAGAGAACCTCTGGCCTACTAGCCCAGAGACTTCCATTTGCAGGAACCTATGAAGTGGAGGTGGGTACCATGGTCTGCTGGGACTGGCTTGCCTAACCCACTTCTGCTTTCCCTTGGGTGAGGCTCAGAGCTCAGGTGTGGGTGAATGTGTGCTTGTCCCAGCTACTCCAGGGAACTATCTGGGATGCAGGGTCTCCCTAGCGTGGCAAGTTCAAGAGGAGGAACAGTTGTGAAGACATGGAGAGGATCAGGAAGCACTCCTGGCTTCCCCCCAGGAACTGGCTTTTAGGGACAGGGCCCCAAACACACCCCCTTGGCCACACCTACCACCCCAAGCCCATCTACACATACACCTGCCACTCACAGATCATAAACACAGCATCCCCACAACAGACAACTCACACCCAATCCTCCACCCTGAAAAAGGTGGGGCCCGTCATTCAGCTGTCACAGCCCATAGCTGGTCACCTAAACCCTGGCACCTACTTGCTGTGTGTCAGAGGCGCACAGGCCTGGCCTGAGATCTAAAGTTCTGTGACAGGAGGCAAAAGAGCTGGGCAGGTGGATCTCGGGGAGTTCAAGGTCAGCCTGGTCTATATATTGAGTCCCAGGGCACTTAGTGCTACACATTGAGATCCTGACTCAAAAATCAAAAGAATATGGTCTACAAAACAAATTCCAATATAGCCAGGACTGTTACACAGAAAAACCCTGCCTGGAAAAAACAAAAACAACAAAACAAAACAAAACCAAAAATGGCTATGATCTCCCCTGGACCAGGGAAGCTCAATGAATTTGCCTTGTGTCTCCAAGACCAGAAGGACCCAACGTAACACTAGGCAGACAGTAAGTTTGTAGCCACTGTAACAGTCGTGTCTCTCTAGAAAAGTGGTTCTCAATCTCCGAGTTCAAACCCGTTTAGTGGGGTAGGTGTCAACTACCCTTTCACAGAGATCACCTAAGACCACCGGAAAACACAGATACAATCCATAGCAGTAGCAAAATCACAGTTATGAAGCAGCAACAAAAATAATTTTATGGTTGGGGGGGGGTCACCACAACATGAGGAGCTGTATTAAGGGATTAGGAAGGTTGAGAACCACTGCTCTAGAGGAAGGGAGCCCAAAGTGGAGGTGCATGCCTATAATCCCAGCATTTGGGAGGCAGGGGCAGAAGTCTGAGTCCAAGGCCAGCCTGGGCTACATTGGGAGACACTGTCTAAAGCCAGGCAAAAGAAAGCAGGCAGGCTAAGGTGTATGTAGCACAGGTCTAAAATTCCAGCACTTGGGCAGCAGAATCACTCAAGGCAAGCCTGGTTTACCCAGGATTCCATGCTAAGTTTGGTCTACACAGCAAAACCCTGATGGGGGGGGGGAGTAAGGTAGGTAAGGAAGTAGGCAGAGGTATCAGCTGAATCAGCCACTAATCCAAGGGGAGCAAAGCCCTTAGAATGCAGGACACAGCTAAGGGAAGGGGTGGCGGAGGGTTTCAGAGGACCTGGGATCAGCTTTAGCTGGAAGCAGAGGTTTAAAGGGTCAGTTTTGAGCAGGTACAGAATGAAGGACTCCTTCCCTCCCTGAACACAAATTAGATCTTCTGCATAAATAAAATGCCCCATAGGCCTCTACTGCCTATGGAAATGACCCACAGTTCCTGCACCTGCCTCTGGCCCCTTGCCATGGAGGGAGGGGCACACCACAGCTGGAGGTGGCAGAGCCCACAGGAGATTTTACATGTTACAGAGGAAGCTGCCTTGAGCCAGCTCCAAACCCAGCAGCTGCCTGGGCACCCAGGGTCTAGACATCCCACCAGAACACTTCATGTTCTGCAAATGCCTCCATCGACCAATCCTTTTGTTTCCCCTGTATTGTTTCTTCTCAAACATCCGATGGTGCTGAAGAAAGGGGCTGCAGCCCACACAACAGCTAAGGACTGTGTGGCAGGGAAGCAAGGAATAACACTGCTCCATCCTCCAACACATAAGATCAGAGACTGCACATGGCACACTCTTCCCACGACCATGACCACGGAAAGAGCTACAGCTTAGGCCCAAGGCCTGGAACACTGACCAACCGGGATCTTCTGGACTCAGGCCAAGGACAATGTTATCAACTGGGCCTCCTCATAAAAAATGTGCTTTTATTGTGGAGGAGGCTAGTCTTCCCACCCCAGCTCCTTCCACGGAGGACCTCAGGCCAGGTCTCCAGCCACCCACCCTTGCTCCTGCCCTTCTGCATCCTGGGGCTGAGGCTTCGATGGCTCCAACCTACTTTACTGGGTCACACCCACTGTAGGGAGCAGGGCTGGGCCCTGCCTGGGTCTGTTTTTCTGCCAGCAAGACTTTGCCATAGCTTCTAGAGCAGGTACCCTATCCTAGCCCATTGCCTGCAGGAGCCCTCCTCTGGGTGGGCCTCCCATCCCTGAACTGGCCTTTATAGATTCTGCCTCAGACCAAAGCAAGGGAGGCAAGGGAGGAGCCTGCTATCTCAGGCTATCTTCTGGCAGCATGCCTGCTGTCAGCACACTTGGCTAGTGTCAGATTTTGGAGGACTCCAGCCGGGGACTCCACGGTGTAGGGGGCTCCCGCAGCACCCGCAGCTCCTGTTCCAGTGCCTGGTTCCGCCGGTACATGTCCATGTAGCCCCCCTGGATTTCTCGCTGGTAGCGCAGCACCCTTTCCTTTTCCTCCTTCCAAGTCTGCCGCTCTTGCTCGAAGCGCAGCGCCTGCTCCTGGCCACGAAGCCGCTCTTGCAGCAGCTCCGCCCGCAGCTGCTCGGCGGCCCCTTCGCTGGCTTCACTGCCTCCTGCCTCTCCTAGCAGTCCCCGGCTCTTGCAGTCATCTGTCTCACAGATGCCTGGAGCTTCCTCCCGAGGCGCCTGTTCTTTCAGACTGCGCACTGCCTCCCGCAGCCGAGCCAGCTCAGCGTCCTGAGCCTGGGCTTGTGCCCTGCTGCCCCGAAGTTGCGTCTTCAGACTGAAGATCTCAGCCAGCTTCTGTGCCAGCTCCGCCTGGGCTTCCCGAAGCTGCTGTTTCAACAGGCTAATCTCCGCGGTCTTCTGGCACACCTGAGGGTAGGGACAAATCGTGAGCACAGTGTGACACTGGGGTCAGCTGCAGGGGAGAAGCAACAGGGTATGGAACCAGGGCCATGAGACAGAAGTTGATGCCTTTGATGGTGTCCTACCTCCCATCGAGCTTCCTCCTCCGGCCGGGCATTAGGGTCAGCCTCCACTTGGGGACCAGAGGTCCGAGGCTCTGGGGTCAGGCCCTGCTGAGCCCGCAGCTCCTTGCGCAGGCGCCGCTGCTCCTGTTGGGCCATAAACAGCTGCAGCTGGAGGTTGCGCTCGCTGCGCTCAGCTTTCTGGGCCACCTCATGCAGCCGTTCCACGTACAGGCGCTTCAGTTCAGACAACCACAACCGCTGGCGCTCCTCTAGCACCTGCAGAGGGGAAGAGGAACTGGTCAGCGGTGGGCACAGCCTTGCTCAGATTTCCACAGTTGGCCTGCCCTCTAAAAACAATGCTCACTTGTGCCCAAGGCCTGCCATTCACTAATGTCTTATGCACCTAGGCCACAGAGCCCAGCGTCCTGGCCACATGTACTTCAAACCCAAAGAGGCTCTCCACAGATAGTTACTAATACAAGGTACTCAGAGAGACTGCCTCGCTCCCTCCTACACAATTCCCAGGACCAAAGTCACAGGGCATCCCTGATGTGTAGTTGAGGGATAGCTAAGAATAGAATTCTCTTTCTTTTCAGTGCTAATCTAATCTAGGGTCTCACACTCGCCAGGCAAGCACACTGCCCCTATCATCCCAGCCTACAAGTGTCTTTTTTTTTTTTTTTTTTTTGTCTTCCTTTAAGAGCAATAGGAGCTGTGCAGTGGTGGCGCCGCACGCCTTTAATCCCAGAACTCGGGAAGCAGAGACAAGCGGATCTCTGTGAGTTCGAGGCCAGCCTGGTCTACAAGAGCTAGTACCAGGACAGGCTCTAAAGCAACAGAGTAAACCCTGTCTCGAAAAACAAACGAAAAGAAAAGGCTGGTTAAGAGCGATGGGAGAAAGGGCGCCATCAGGGGCATAAACTCTGATCTCACTGCTCCGGTCCCATCCTCTGCTGCCTCTAACATACGGCTGCCCCCCAATACCACACTATGCTTAGGCCTTGTTCATGGTTTGTCCCCACCCCCAGCTGTGCCAGCTGTCAGAAATTAATCTGGCCTATATTTCAATGCCAAGGAACAAACCACGCCAGGGCAGGGGCTCCCTCACCTGAGTAAAGGGGTTAGAGACATCCTGGTCACTGAGGTCCCTCTTGAGTTCCTCACAGGTCTCAGGCAACACGGCTACCTCCTCACCAGTGGGACAGGAAAACTCATATGGGGGAGGTGGCTCAGGCAGGCAGCTCAGTACAGCCAGAGGTCCAGACTCCTTGGGGCTCCTTGAAGCACGGTCCAGTGAGCCCCCAAGGTGATTAATGTGGCCCAAGGAGGAGCTGAAGGGGCTGGGGCCAGTGCCTGGACTACGGCCAAAACTACCCCCACTGGAAGAGTCCGAAAGGCTGGGCTCAGGGCCACCTTCATCTAAGCTGAGGGCATGAAGCAACTGTGCACGGGCTTGACTGGCCCGAGGCCCGGGACTCAGAGGCGGGTGGCAGGCCAGCGTGTGCAGACTGCCATTGCTTCGCCACAACTTCTGCCCCTTGTGGGCTGCCAGGCTTTGCATGGACAGGAAGCCTTTCCCGGTGCCCACGGGAGACTTGAACACCGACGGGCGGATTCGGCACTGTCAGGAAGAGAATGCAGGTGTGAGTTGAGTTGGCCACTCTTTTCTGCCTACCTGATGTCCCTCACAATCCCCTCTGAGAATACAAGGCACACATCACAGGGAGGTCACAGGGAAGCAGAGATCATGCTTCAGGCTGGCCCATATGGAGCAACTTCACAAACCTCAGTCTGCCCTCGCCTATCGTCAGGGCCTCCCGGCTGACCACCCCAACATCATGTTCTCCAAGTCGGGCCCAATCCCCCACAATAGAGATGCACCTTGTCAAAGCGACCCCTCTCAGGCAGGGAAGTCTTGCTGAAGTCACCGGCCCGAGGATGCTCCCGGTAGTAGAGGGTGGCATAGTCCGGCTCATTCCGAGGTGCTCGCTTGCCGCTCTTGCCGTCCTTCTTGGGGAGATGCAGGTAGCTGAAGAGTTCGCGCTGGCCCAAGCCTTTCCGGAGGAGCCCATCAGCCTGCCGGGAGCCCCGGGACCCAGCCAGAGCGGCACGAAGTTCTTCAGGGGAAAAGTCCTGCCGTTCCAACAGGCTGCCCACGCTGCCCATGGCAATGCCAGCAGGGCCTGAGGCCGTGGCCATGAAGGTTCAACAGGGCACAGGCAGCTGATTCTGGGAATCAGAAAGCTCCATTAGTGGCAGATGGGCACTCAGTACCCAAGTCCCCAGATGCTCTAAAACCAGACACTTGCCATCTGTCAGTCCCCCAGCTTGCCCAGGCCCAGCAGAGGCAGATACGCGTGAACAGGGCAGGACTCCCAGAATGGCCAAGGGAAGGGAACACTGAACACGGTGTCAGACTAAGTCGCTTCCACCGCGACACCTGAAGGAACAGCTCCAGACAGGGGTCTGGTGTGCAACGCAGAGGAAAGGCAGGAAAGGGGAGGCCCTCAAGCAGTAGGATGGGGGGGGGGCCCTAGAACTGGGCCAGCAAAGGGTGGAGGGTGAACTCAGGTACTGTCTGACCCATGACTCTGCTTCCTTCTGACAGGTTTTCCACCAAATCTGTGGTATGGGGAGGGCTGGAGGAGGTCTGTTCTTCTGCCTTCTCACGGGGGGAGCCCCTGTTCTCTCAAAGGGTCAGAGGTCCCCCCACAAGGAAACATCTGGAGTGGGTGGGGCTTGGGGGGAATACAGTGGGAGGGTCACAAACAGGAAAGGCCCAAGGGGAGGAAGGATGGTGATACACACAGGAAGGGCCTAAGGGGAGGAACAATGGCTCCTGTTTCCGGAACAGGTGTTCAGGCCCAGGCAATGATGGGAGGCAGAGAGAAGAAGCAGCCATTCTCTGTTATGCCACTGAGTTCTGCTGTTAGCTATCACCAGCCAGGTCCCCAGGACCTGGAAGCTAGCAACTGTGACCTTATCCGTGCCTAACCGCTGTGAGCCTTGTCTTCCTCTGAAGCAGAAAGGCAGTGACAGACAACATTTATCACTTAGGGATACTGAAAGGAAGGGGTAAGATAATGCGACCAGGCACCTAGTCCAGGCCTGGCCTGAAGCCACGGTCAACACAGAATACCCGTGGCTGAGCTTAGTCACCCGCTTCAACTCCACACCAAGGGACCGGGCTGATGGACCATCTCTCACATATTCTGGGGCCCGACACGCTAGAGACTGGGGCCTGTGCCACACCCATCGCCTGGCATACGGTAAGTGCAAACAACTGGCAGTGAATGGCACCTTTTCTGCCTCCCACCCACCCACACACAGCTGCTCCCAATGCCAAGCAGATGCCTGGCAGGCAGGCTGCCACTGGGAGTACCCACCACCACCCACCCAATACACTTCCGGGACACCCACTCCCACCCCAAACAATGGTGGTTAGGAGGCTCCATCCTCAACCATTTCCAGGCTTTGTGTTTAGGGAAGACAAAGCTCTCTCTGGTGGAGGGAGGGCAGGCCTTGCCCCTACCCCATACTCTATAGCCCTCAACTGCACCCCTGGCCAAAAAAAAAAAAAAAAAAAGTCATAGCCTTCTGAATAACTTTCTTATACCACTCGAAGTGGGGTGCAAGCCTGAGTTTGGTTACCCTGCCCAGGCGCATTGAACAGTCATATCCTTCGAGGGATGTCACAAGCCATGTAAATTCAAGAGATTCAACCAGGTTACAGGACTGTTGGAGCTGGGACTATGACCTTAACATGGCCCTTTGTAGACTCTCAAGGAGACTATGGCTCCGGTAACCCCTCCTTTTAAGAGGCAAGTTCTTGGAGACTCACAGAGCTAACCAGTATGAGGATGACATATGGGATCCCGACGCCAGGGCTGCCAAGTGTCTAGCAGGATGTCACCCACAACCAAAAGAAGTAGGATGGGGTCACTTTGCCTCCTCATTCAACACTGCCTCGCCCTGATAAGCCAACCCATGAGATGTCACTGCACATGAGATGTGCTGCTGCTACTCAAGGAACGCGATCACCTCCAGCAACCCCTCTCTCCCTCCCCGGGGACCCTAGATGTCTGCCTCTGCATCTTGCCTCTCCTTCCTTACCTCTGTCGGGATAATTGAAAGAGAGGCAACAGGGGCGAAAGGACTTTGTGAATGGTTAAGTCCCGTATGCCCAGGAGTTGGGGGACATTGCCAAACATGTCCACTTCACCCTAAACACCCACATCCTTCCTCTGTGCAGACACTCACTTCCACTCCCAGGAAAAAAAACTGACACTCCACATAACCCACCAAAGGGTCGCGGGTCCAGGGATGAACCAGCGTGGCCACACACAACTACGTAAATGGCTTTATACAGAACACAGAGTCAGAGTATCGGTCCCACAGAGAAATGTGTGTTAGGGGACAGTCCAGCAGCGGACAGCACCACAAGGTCACCACCACCCACCCACCCACCTAGACAAGGTGCTGCAGTCTGCCCCATCCCCATCAGCAGGGCTGAGGCCCCAGGCCACCCAGGTCTCAGTCTGGAGACAAACCCCTCTCCTGAAAAACCCAACCTACCTCTGCCCCTCCCCCAACACGCACATTCCTTCCCCCGTTGCTTAGAAGCCTTGGGATTGCCTGCTCAGACCAGGGCAGCTGTGCAGACTCTCTATGGCCTTTGATTTGGTTGGTGGGGGTGGAGAGAGCTGGCAAATGGCTCACAGCCTCTGGGGGACCAGAGTAGAAAGAGGGGGTGCTTGGACTGTGCTGCCATAGTAGGGTACCTATCTCTCTCTCTTTTCAAGACAGGGTTTCTCTGTAGCTTTGGAGCCTGTCCTGGAACTCGCTCTGTAGACCAGGCTGGCCTCGAACTCACAAAGATCCACCTGCCTCTGCCTCCAGAGTGTTGGAATTAAAGGCAAGCACCATCACCGCCAGGCTAGGGTACCTATCTTAATGCCCAGGGGCTTCATTCCTGTCTCGCTCTGCCCCAAGGTTAGCCTGCAGTGCAGAAATCTCTAACTAGAAGCACACAGTGGGACACCCCAGCACCAGGCCCCGGGTACCTCTTCAAAACACACCCGGGAGGTGAATACGGTTATTTTTACTTCACTAGAGGAAACAAGGAGACGAAGAGGTAAAATGATGTGACCAAGGTCATGTTCAGGAGGAAGTGCCCTGGCTTCCTAGACGCAGTTTTCCTTGCATTTCCTTTGGCTTGGGGCACCTCAGCCTCCGTGTGGTGGCAGGAGTACTGTCAGACTGAACCACCATTAGTTAGTTCCACCAGAGTGCACCAGGGGAGGGTCACACCATCTGCTGGGGGGGGGGGATCAGTCCTTCTGAGGGGTGTGTCTGCAGCTGCCCCAAAGGAATGAGCCTGGAATGTCCCAACTCCAAAAATGGGGACAGGCTGAGAGGTGGTGGGGGTGGCTGGCATACCCTGACCCCTTGGCAGAATTATTGCAATTTGCTTAACGCACAGTGCTCCAGGGTTTCTCAGCTCTTCTATTTCATAATGTCACATCATCCCCACAGCAGTCGGTGGACACAGACTGGGCAGTAAGGATCCTATTTAGAAATAGGCTTGGACGGAGGAACAAGTCGCCTAAGATCCCACTCTGAGGGCCAATCTGGATTCCCAGAGTAAAGCCCTCTATACTACACCCAGCTGTCCCAGCTAGGGGTCACCTTCCAAAGGCACACACTGCTATGTAGCCTGCCCAGCCCCCATGCTTGTTCCTCCCAAGGGCACTTACGGCTAGGCTGGGTGGGATGCAACTTCACCCCCTCCCAGGGATCTCTCCTAGCCCACCCTGGGGGAGTAAGGGTAGGAAGAAATAGTGGAAGTGGCGTTGGCTTAGGGACTCTAAGCTCTGGAAACTGCTAGAGGCGGTGTCGGGAGCTGGCTGGTCGCTTTCATTCACAGTCTCGCACATACACACCCACACGCAGCTAGTGGCAGAGGAGCCCTGTTTGGGAGAGCCTGGAAGGAGGCTGATCACCAGGTCCAGGAGGGCCTCCCGCCTCTGCTCTCTCCTAAAGATAATCATGCCCAATCTGTATCTCTGGGGTGGAATGTCCCACGCCCCCATCTGAATAGAGCCAGGGTTCCAGTCCTCACTTTTGTGAAAGGCTGAGGTCAGAACTGGAACAGAGTCACGGACCTTGGGACATCCCCTATCCGCAGGTCCCCAGACAAGGACCAGACAAGGCAAGGGGCTGGGGCAGGAAAAAGATACCTTGTGGGAGAGGGCAGGTGAGCGGTGTCCCCGGGAAGGCGGCAGAGAAGACAGGCTGGCCGTCCCGGAGGAACTACGCCCGGGTAGGCAGTGGAGGAAGCGAGAGATCCCAGAACTGCTGGAGGCCCCAGAGCTACCCAGGGGGGTGGGGTGGGGTGCACATATCCCGCCCGCTGTCTGCCGGGCCTGCCTGGAGCTGCTGCAGGGGGCGGAGGCCGAGGTCAGACTCCTGCACCAAGGGCGCCTGCCCCTCCTAGCTGCGGCGCAGGGGTCTCGGGCAAAGCTCCATGGAAAGCTTTACAGGTTAGCCTAGTGCGCGGGAGCGGAGGACACCGGGACTAGCACTGCATCCTCCCACCTCTCCACCCTCCCCCGCGCTGGGGTCCGAGAACGACCTCGGAGACCTGCCCAGCCCACTTACCATGCTGGCGCCGAGGATCTCAGGGCGCGCTGCAGTCCCTGACTCGGTCCCGAACCTTTCTCCTCGCACGCTCTTCGGGCAGGCGCGGGAGCGGGATCGGCGGGCAGAGGACGCGCTGGGCGACAGTCTTGTGCTGGCCCCAGAGGCGGAGGGAAAACCCGGCCTGACTCACCCGCCCGGCGCGAGCCCCAGAGCCCAGCCCGGCCCCCGGATGTGGGGGGCGGGCACCGGCGCCGCCCCCGAGCGACCTGAGACCCGCCCGGCTCACGGGTGCAGTGGGGCCAGGTCCCCCGGTGTGCGATCACTCGGTCGGTGTCGTGCAGCAGCTCCGCAGACCCGGCTCCGGCCAAGGCTCCTGAGCCCGCGCCTCCCGGCTGCTCCTCCTCCTCCAGCTCCGAGCCTCGCCCGCCTCGCTCGGTTTCCTTCCAGAACCAGCTTCCAAACTGGCGCGCTGGGGTGGGGCGGTCACGTCTCTGCTTCAGGCCGCCTCTTTCTCAGGTAAGCACCACTTTCCTCCTTTGAGACTAAACCCAAGTAGCAGCGCTCTGAGAGCCGAAGAGATGTAGTCGGCGTCTCCAGTGGTTGGCGGCTGGACTGGGCGCAGGGCTTTTATTTTGGAGGGAGGTTAGTTTGTCTCTACTTCTAGGGGCGGCAGGTTCAGATGCCTTCAGGGGCCAGACCGATAATGTAAATGAGTCACATGGGCTGGGTAAGACTGTAGCGGGACGGAAACAGAAGGCTGGACACCTAAACTCGTTCAAGTTCAGGAAGTTAGAACACCTCTTCTCTCTTGAAAAGTTAAATACAGATAAGTGAGGGAGGAGAGAGTGCTCTGTGGTTTAGAGTATCAGAGGACTCGGGTTTGGTTCCCAGCACCCACGTGGTGGCTCACAACCCTCTAACTCCAGTTAGTTCCCTGGGATCCAGTGCCCCACCTCTGGCCTCTGGGTGCACTACACGCACGTGGTGAACATTTAATCATGCTGGCACACACACGGAGTAGCCCTGGCTGTCCAGAAATTCACTCTGTAGACCAATCTGGCCTCGAACTCAGAGATACACTCGCCTCTGCCTCCCGACCATGTTTTCTTTTTAAGATTAAAAAAAAAAGGGGGGTGGTGGTGGCGGCTGGCGGCGAACGCCCTTAATCCCAGCACGCAGAAGGCAGAGGCAGGTGGATCTCAGTGAGTTTGAGGTCAGCTTGGTCTACCAAGTGAGTTCCAGGACAGCAAAGACTGTTACACAGAGAATTCATGTCTTGGGGGGAAAAATAAGTTAAACATGGATTTAGGATACGCCTAGCCCTTCCATTCCTGGGTGTATGGCAAAAAATTGAAATCGGGTATGCCAACAATTACTTATAGTAGTCAAGAGGACGAAAAATTTCAAACCCAGGGCTGGAGAGATGGCTCAGCAGTTAAGAGCTTTGTCTGCTCTTCCAGAGGACCATGGTTCAATTCTCAGCACATGGAAGCTCACAACTGCCAGTTCCAGGGTATCTGACACTTTCATACCAATGCACACACAATGAATTTAAATAAGTTGTTTAAAAAAATAGGAAAAAAAAACCAAACCCTCTATCAATTAATGAAGGGATAGTGTGGTCCACCCGTACAGCGGAATATCATTTACCATAGAAGAGGAATGAATGCCATCCCATGCTACATCGCAGATAAACCTCTGAAAGGGGATGCTAAATCTAAGAAACCACCCACAAAGGGCCATGTGTGGAGTGATCTCACGCATGTGAAATAGGTAAGCCCTTATGGACGGACTGCAGACTGGTGCTAGATGCTGCAGGGAAGGAGAAGTGAAGAGGATTCCTTACTCCTTACTGGTTGTGGTTCATCTTGGTGTCAGGCGGTGATTGCAACACTTTCTGCCATTCCTTTTAAAATGTCTCAGGGGACTGGGTGTGACTCAGTGGTAGAGCATGCCCGAGGCCCCACGTCCAATTCCCAGTACCCCAAATTCAAATGGACAATGCTGTATCATGCGACACTTACTTCATTTAAACAACACAATGTCACCTGTGGCTCAACAGGTCCCCATTTGCAGCCTGTGCTTTCTGTCTACTGATGGCAGTTTCCCAACAAAGGAAATGCAGGGCAAGAAAACTCAGTTCACAGCTACTCGGTGTACCTCGGCGGTGGAGGGGCTGCCCAGGAATGGAGGGCGTGGCCTGAGACAGCCGGCTCACGGCAAGGACACACTTACCGCCCTGGGGACCCGAAGAAAGGCCTCTCTGGGTAAATGTTTCCCCAGGAAAATGCACCCCTGGTGTTGAGGCCCAGAGCTGGAGAAATCTGGACATGTTCAGGCGCAGGTGAGCTCTCTGGGGAGGGCCAGAACCCTGAAAGAGCCTCAAAGGCGGCACAGGGGTGGACCCAGAAGCGCCTGTGCAAGCTTGTTCACCGGGCAGGACTGTGCCGCACACACAAGCCTGCTTGATGGTTGAAGCGGGGAAGCTAGGACCGGAAATGTTCATGAAATGGTTATAAAGAATTAGCGGGGGGGGAGCACAGGGTGCTCTTCCAGAGGTCCTTAGTTCAATTCCCAGAAACCACATGGTGACTCACAACCATCTGAAATAAGATCTGGGCCCTCTTCCGCCCGGGCAGACTTGGAGGGAGAATGTTGTATACATAATAAAGATAAATAAATAAATCTTAAAAAAAAAAAGAGAGAGAGAGAGAGAGAATTAGCCGGGTGGTGGTGACACAGCCTTTAATTCCAGCACTTGGGAGGCAGAGGCAGGCAGATCTCTGTGAGTTCAAGGCCAGTTCTGCCTATGGAGTGAGTGCCAGGACAGGCTCTAAAGCTACACAGAGAAACCTTATCTCAGGGGGGGAAAAAAAGAAAAGTCTTATCAAGAACATTCTCAAGGCGAAAGAGTCAAAGCTAAATTCTAGATTCTTTTTATTTATTTTTCCTGTAGGGCAGCTGCCCTTGAACTCACTTTGTAGCAGCAGAAGATGGATTTGAACTCCTGATCCTCCTATTCTCTACATTATAAATACTGGGATTCTATGCTCTGTAAATACTTACTGGTTGTTACAGTTGTGTGCTCTGTATGCATTTGCATGGAGGTGGAGATCGGAGACTGTGAAGTCAGTTCCTCTCTTCCTACCTTTGCATGGGTTCTGGGGTTCGAACTCAGGTCCTCAGACTCGTACAGCAAAAGCTTTGCTCCGTCTGTAAGTGTTGATGGTGACTAGGGTTCAGAAAGACCCAAGTGCACCTTCCTCCCCTCCCCTTTCGCTTTACTGGACCCCTTTCATATTTACAAATGCAGTAACATTCAAGTTCTGCTGGTTTCTTCCCCTGTACCAGGCTAGCAGTGGAGGAGCGGGATGGTGGTGGTGTCTCAGGCATCCTGGGAGGAAGGACTGGACCCACCCCTTGAGAGCCCAGAGGTGTTAAGAATGCACATAGGAGAGAGGGGTGGAGGCTCCTGGCTGAACAGAACACTCAGAACTGGCTTTAGGTAAGGATCCTGGGACTGTGGAGCAGAGGACAGCCTGTCATTTGGGGAAGCAAGAGAAGGTCAGGAGCAGGGTTCCTTGCCCCCACCTTCTGCACCAGCTAGAGACTCCAGCCTGCTAAGACCTTGCTCCGGCCTCTAGAGAGCTGGCCTGACAGATACTGCCCAGCTTTGAGCCCTTGCGTGTTGTTACCCTGGTTACCTGGATGGGGAGTGGCAGGGCAGACAGGCCCAGCTGACCTTGTGGGAAAGTAGGCTCAGTCACAATCCAGTCCCTCTTCTTCCCCTAGCACCCTTAGGCCTTCCTCTGTGTGTTTTCAAGGCTACAGAGGTCATGTCATTGAATTCTTGGATGTCCTTGGTTTAATTTTCTCTGATGGAAAACTTGAGGTCTGGAGGGGGGATATGATCTGCCTCCCCCGAAAGTACACCTCAGCGCTAGAAGCCCCAAAGGTTCTGCCTTTCTGAGGTTTTGGAGAGAAGGTAGGCTGGATAGAGGGGGGCGGTCAGAGGCCATCAGGAGGCCAGGCCTCCTCCTCCCACCCTAGTCTTGCCTCATGTCTGAGAGACTAGCTTCCTAGCTTCCGGTAAGTGGTTGGGTCCGGGAACGGGGGAGTACCCACTGAACTCTGGTCACCTCTTGGGTTCATCATGTATAGGTGAGTCTCCTGAGCTCTCGTTTGACAGACCTGTGGATTTGGCATGCAAGCCATGCTATTCAGATGCCAAGGAGTGAGGTACTCCGGGCACCAGGCCAGAGCTGAAGTGAAACCGAATTCCCTGGGCGTACCTGTTTCCTGAATTGGCTAGCCTTGGACAACATAACTTCCTTCAGCTATCTGCTGCCTGTTAGTGCCCAAGACAGTGGGAAACTAGGGCTACCCACGGGGAGTAGGGATTTATCCTATCTCTGCCTGCCGCCTTTCTTCTTGACAGTTGCGACAGTCTTTCTAGACTCTTCTTCACCCTGCCCCAGAGCAGCCCTAAGCCCACACGTTTGGTTTCCAGTTCTCTGTAGCCCAAAAGATAGAATCTCAACCTCAAGATTGGTCCTGCCGCTCCTTCAGGCTGGGACACCACCATGACTCCCATCACTTCACCGTGTCCCAGGCACTGCCTCAGTCTCCTCCTCTGGAATTGACTGGTTTGGGTGTCACCACACTGCCTTCAAGGTCTCTGAACAAGAAACTGATCACACTGGCTGTCTCCACGCTGAGCCGTTCCTTCTTTCAGTTGCCCCTGTACCTGGGTCACTTGTCATCTGGTCTTGCCACTTCCAAACAATAGCAAGCCCTGAGCACACGGGGACTCATGCCCAGTTGAGGTCTTGAAGGCATTTGGGAAATGCCATCTTAGCACGTTGCACTGGCTTTGCTGGCTTCTTTGACCTGAGGCCTGGGAACAGGGTCTTTATCCAGTGAACAGGCTGGACAGCCTTATTTTTCAGTTTCTGACTCGGGGTCTTGTTATCTAGCCCAGGTTGACTAGAACTCACAATCCTGTCTCTGCCTCTGGGGCTGAGAGTCCAGACGTGCATGGCCGTGTCTGGCTTCTGTATCTAATGAGACAACCTTTGTTCACCATGAAGCTCCTCCATCCACCGTCCCAAAATTTGTGCCACACCCAGCCCTCCATTCCCAGGAGCACCAATCGTTTTGTGAAGAAATAGAGTTTCTCTCCTTTCATCTGTTTTTTTTGAGGCAGGGTCTCTCCACATAGTCTTGGCTCTCCTGGAACGCACTATGTATAACAGATTGTCCTCAAACTCAGAGATCCACCTGCCTCTGCCTCTCAAGTGCTGG